CGCACGTATAAACATACGCGCATACGTACACACGCACATATGTTTACTGGAAAACGGTCGTATCCGATTCTGGGGACCTGAAAACGTGAAGATATTTAGGATTTGCAGAATCAGACCCATTACTATAATTTCCTACTAGGAAGTCAATGATGTTGGTACAATGTAAAAGCTCTCGTAAAATCGATTCCTTATATTCATATTCATTTTGCATACAATTGACTATAAGAGATACAGAAAAAAGTTCAAAACAAAAGTTAAAGTTGATTTCATTACATAAAAAGTTGTTCCTATATTTTATGTATGTGTGGATTTTGCTGAAAATCTGACGTTTTTTTTGTAGCCGCTTCTGCATTGAATCTGCTGTAAGATTTACAGTTAGTCCCTACTGTCATCTTCTGTTGCAAGATCCATACGTTAATGCAAAATAAGACACATATAGTGCAATTCTTTTATACGATCATTGCAAGGTTTTTGTAATACCTTTGAAGAATGTTCTTTTGTGAATGAGCTATGTTACTAGGGTGAAAGTATATAAAAAATTAATCTTGTAGAGTTTATATTATTATCATCAAACTTAAAAATTACCTATTACTATAACTTCCAATTCTATTTCATCGATAACATGAAATGAAATGTTAATTTTCAGGTTGCGAGCTTTTGTTGGTTTTTTATTCATCTGTGTAATATTTCTAGTGGGTTTTGCACACATTTACTACACCCAAAATGTTCTTCAACGAGCATATTTTGAAAAATTTAGGTAAACCATTCTACTTTATTCAACACGAAATTCAAAATAGTCTATAAAAATATAAATAAATTATTTCTTCAATGTTAGGTTCAATAAAAATGAGCGTCTGTTACACGTCTACAACAGCGCAGGACTAGAAATTGTATCAGCCAGACTAGGAAATGGCATTCCAACCGACACTGGAGTCTTTCCTTGTCTACCTCACCACCAAAAATCTGATTCTGTGTGTTTAGAATGGCTCCACTATTCACGTTTATATTTGACTCATGCCAAACGAGAAGGAATGCATTGCTACTATTTGACATGGCAAAGTTTAAATCCTTCTTTCAATCCGAAAGACTGTTTCGATTGGTCTTCAAGACGCGGTCACTGGTACGGTGGTGGGCAAATTCACAATATGGCTTACCCACTAGAACAAGGCAAGCTCGAATTAAGTCCATTCATTACCGGAGACATTCGAGAAGAAATCCCTTCGGAAATGTTCTGAAAAGATATTTCCTCAAACTCTAGAGGTGCTACGATTCTGGTTGATTCTGAAACTCCATTGTATATTTCAATAAATGCTAACAAGACTAAGGAGTTTTGTCTCCAAGCAAGCATGATGAGTTTGCTTACATCAATCACTTGACTCAGTTGCCACAGCTTAATTACTCTATCTGCGCCACTGACAACATGAAGAACCTTCACTCGTCAATAGCCGAAAAGTCTTTGTGGGATGGCCTGAAACCGGACGAATTGCGGGCAGTTGATGTTCTGCTTTCCGAACCAATTTGGCAGATATCTCCAACCAATGAAGCGACAGTTTATAACTACACTGAAGACATCATAGCTCTGGGGTTTCTAAGACAAGGACACGTATTGTTAAGTGAAGAGTGGCAACCAAGTACTGGGGATTTTATTCTAGATGAAAGTAGATTCAAGTCCATGGAAGAAACCATTGACATCATTCGACGTCGTGGTTTTCGAATTGTCTTCACCATTCAGCCGTTTATTTCTACGGAGTCTATCAACTTCAGAGATGCCGTCACCAATCGACTTCTTATCTCTGAGCGTGGAAGTGATCCCAAGGATTCCAGCATTGACTCGCTATCATCAGAGCAACAGTGCAGGAGTTCTAGACATTACAAATAATAAAACACTGCCATGGCTATTGAAGAAACTCGAGCCTTTGCTAAAAAAGTATCATATCGAGTCATTTTACTTAGACCTTGGGACAGCTTATGATATGCCGCATTATTACAAATGCCAAGAACCTTTGACGAATCCAGATCACTACAAAACGCTGTTTACGAAGGCCATTATTGGATCAATTCCAGTCCTAGGTGTATCTGCAGCAATAACAAGGCCAAAAGCTCCAGTCTTCGTGAGTTTGCCGCCATTTCCTTCGTCATGGAAAGCTATTAAGACTGTGATTCCAACCATTTTAAGTTATGGAATGATAGGATTTCCGTTTGTTCTTCCAGGAGCTGTTGGAGGTGACATTGCTCTGCCAATGTCTGACAATAATCCGAACAATGATTTCCACGTAAACTTACCAGACAAAGAACTTTACATCAGATGGCTTCAGTTGTCTACATTCCTTCCAGTCATCAGATTCACGCATCTTCCTAGTAAATACGCTGATGACAGTGTTTTGGAAATGACAAAGACCTTGACATCATTAAGACAGAAGACGGTGACACCATTGCTAAAGAAATATGCTAATGAAACTTTAGATTCAGGATTGCCAATCATCAGACCACTTGGATGTTGGATCCAATGGATCCTGCTTGTCATGTTGTTGTTGATGAGTTTTCTGTTGGTGAAGAGTTGATCGTCGCACCTATACTGTATTCTGGTAGCAGACAACGAGAGGTTTATCTTCCAGCTGGAGTCTGGCGTGATGGAATTGACGGAAGTCTCAGAAAGGGATCAAGATGGATCCATAACTACCGAGTAGCAGAAGATAAAGTCGCATATTTTGTTAAAATGCCTGATAACACCCGGTTCTAGTGGTTCATTTAATGTCTTCATTGATTCTTGGGTATTTCATTGTATGTTGAAACATGTCCGTAACGTATTTGTATTTATTTGGAAAAAAAAGAAAGATTATACATATTTTTCATTGTTACAGAGCTCTTTTAAAAACAGAAATGTCCAGACCGAAAGATAATAAATGTAAGCAATGGTCTCACTTTCCTACTTATGGGATATTTTAGAGTGTAATAAGTTAAAATCAATAAGACATCATTAACGGCAGTCTTTTTAAAAAAGGCACATAGCTTAATTTGACTATTTTTTAAAAGGCACTGTAAATCTACACATTAAGACTGGGCTTTTCTAAGCTGGAATGACCTCGAATTTGTTTGTCAACTTATGTTTTTTTCATTTATTATTTTTATGTAAAATACATTCAAAAATGTTAAAGAAATGGTATGCAGGAGAGAAGCTAAAGTTTGTCAGTGTGAGTGCATAATAAATGAATTTTTTAGTGAAAAGCTTATGACAAAACGCCCGTCATGTTACCTCAAAACTCTTTAAAAATTTATTTATGATGCACTTATAAATGCATTTACGCTGTCAAACTTTAGCTTCCTTCCTCTATACTATTCTTCAACATTTGAACAAGGAAATGCGGTCAGTGCAGTGGATGCAGTGTCATATCAATTAATGATGTGCTCGTATATCTGGAATAATTAAAACAATCTATATTATTGAATAAGACTATACAATACATGTTATACTTTCATATAAAATCAAATACTATCAGCACTGAGTTTTTATAGTGATCAATGAGAATTGCAATAGATTTAAAATCAAAAATATGAAATTAGAACAATTGTTCTCTATTAAGCTAAGTTCTGTTAAAATTAGACCAAGACCGAGTTAAATGTATTATATATCCATGTACTGATGTTAACGAAATTTTTTAATTAAAATTTTTTTACAAAAAACTGTAAAATTGAATATTAAATAAATCATTATTTTTCGCGCTTCTAAACCAAACTTCCATGAATGAAAAAAGGCATTCAAAAGAATTAACTGGATATTATTTCTCAAACTTAAATTTGATTTAAAATTAGAAAAACAAACTAGAAATTAAATATTGACTGAATTACTTTAACTATGATTAAAACAAAAATTATTATGGAATAATCGGATGAATTTAGAATTCCTTAGCTTCCTAGGATGATCCCAACAAACTGGGCAAGTTATCCTTACTTTTTCGGTTTTTGCTAGAACTACAATAATTTTCATCACCAGCTCGAAACCTGAATAGTGAAATATGAAAAAAGTTTATTACTAATAAATTGAGTACAATGCACTTGCAATAGATAAGAAATGGTAACAGTAATGAGGAAGTAGAGAAGATGAATAGCGTAAAAATGAAAAGGTTTCACTACTAGAAGTAAGTTTAGGGAAAATTTTAGAAATTATTATTTCCATGAAAATGAAGATTTTTAATAATAAAAATTTTTAACATTCATACTGTTGAAAAATTTCAACTTTGAATAACCTAACCGTTTAAGGATAGAAATGATTGTGATAGATCAAAGCAATTAGGAAGTCAGGTCTTATAAAAAATATATAATCTTTATTTTCAGCACTAGCAATGAACAATATACACTGTACAACTTTTTGTCACTGAATAAAAGAATGAATGTCTTTAGAGATCACTGAATGTCAATTTTAATTACTAAATTTTAATTGAATGTCTAAAAAATACTCAACTCGGTGTGTTCGGTATTATTAATCTCCCACACGAGTTCAACACGCTTTTCAAGTCAAGAAAATATGATTGTGCACGTGGTGTTAGCCTATCAATGCAATGCAAAATGAATTTAATTCAATTAGTTGAATTTGCAGTGAATTGTCTTGAAATATTAATTGATTGCGTTGTAGAATGAAAAACTAAATGTTTCTGTCGTTTCAGAATGACACTAGCACTATAATTGACTCGACGAGGAAAGATTTTAAAGAAAAGAAATAGAATGGCGTGTATACGTAAATGAAAACAAAAAAAGAATAGCGACAGGAACTTCATTGGTCAAGATGGAGACTGAAAATTAGTCAAATGAGTGACTAGAATTAGAAATATTGATTATTTGGTCGATTGGTTATTGACCTAGTGCCAAGATAGCCACCGAAGTTCCTATCAGCTGATAATTCAAACTTGAGAATTAATTAATTCTCAACAAATACGTTGAATAAATCATTTATCTTCAACTCTATAACCTTACTTTCTTAAGTTAGTCAAAAATTATTAAACTAATTGGTTGTACCAGCTGATCATTAAAACTACATTTCAGAAAAATCATATTCTTTCGGTCTTCTACATACAATCCTCCATTCGAAAGATACAGTACTCTAGGACAGCCTTATCCGATTCCCCTACTTTTTTGGTTAAAAAGTGACTCCATCAGAAATTATTCTGCTATGAGCGCTAGTAGTACTCAAGGATGGTGATCAAGTAAGGTCTTTGCACCAGAAAATAGAGATGTATATAGAAGGATCATCTGCTGGATTTTTAGTGGACACATTCTGAGTTCACACCATGACGTCACAGCGTTAGTTCTACTATCGCACATTACCCTTTCCCTGAAAAGTTTCAAGCGCTTAAGACATCGCATAAATGAATTGTAATGTGGCAATTATATATAAAGATTGATTGAGAATTTTATTCTCTATCGATCTATACATAATTATTTTTTTCGTAAAAAAAAAATTTCTTTCTTAAACAAGCAAAAACATTTTATTAATTGGCTACTTCTTCCGCGAAAAGTTCTTACGCACATGCAAATATGGGTGCATGCTGGATTTCGTAGTTGTAAACAAGCCGCAATATTCGCTGGCACTTCACCTATTTTATGTCTTCCAATTGGTTGACGCTCACATTTACCTTTTACATACTTACTGAAAACTCTGTCGCTGGAGTAATTAGGTGGTCTCAGAGAAATATATTTTTAAGACTTTCGTAAAAAAGACTCTCAATAATGAATTATCCTGGGTACGCGTTCTTATTATTGACGATCGACACTAAATATCTATTTCTGCCTAAATCTTCTACATCTTGAACGTTCATATTTGTTATCTCATTACACCTCATACAGCCACAGACACCAAATATAAGTATGACCTACGAAAATTGAAACCAATGTAATAAAACCGAGTATAACGAGCATAGTATAATTAGAAAAGTAAATATGTCAATAATAATTACCTTCATGGCTAAATAATCGAAGTTTGGAGTGTCGTTCATAAATTTCTCTATTTGGTCCCATCTTAACACAAATGCTTTCTTCGGTTTATAACCATTGTAATTAATTTGTAACAAACTTTTTAGGTTACAACTATTATCAATTTTTATATTGTCTTTTACACTTAAAGTTTTCTTTAGAATACTATATATGCTCCACAAAGTTGGTGGTTTTAGTTTTATTTTTATCGACTCAAAATAAACAATTAAATTATTCTCCTCTGAGCTTGATAAAGACTGTTGATTTTCCTCCCGCCATTTTCTGTATGTATTATAAATCTCATCAAAAACAGCCCCCTCCTTCTGGGCTGTACAAAAATGTGCGCCAAACATAAATAACGACAATGATGAAATTACAAAAAGTTCTAAAATCATTAAACGCCAATTATTTAAATCTACGAATCAACAATATTTAAAATCAATTATTTTCTTCGGTTTTTTTTTGAAAAAAATTTAGTACGTTTAATGACACAATAAACATAACAACCAAAAACTTGGCATGACTGTTAAGGTTTTATAGAAGCATGAAATTGTGAAAATATTGAAAATATTTAAGCCAATTAATAAATAACAGTCACGCCAAGTTTTTGGTTGTTACGTTTATTGTGTCATTAAACGTACTAAATTTTTTTTCAAAAAAAAAACCGAAGAAAATAATTGATTTTAAATATTGTTGATTTGTAGATTTAAATAATTGGCGTTTAATAATTTTAGGACTTTTTGTAATTTCATCATTGTCGTTATTTATGTTTGGCGCACATTTTTGTACAGCCCAGAAGGAGGGGGCTGTTTTTGATGAGATTTTACCATTTTTTGTACATATCAACTGAAAAGGAATATTAAAAAAATAAATCTGTTCAGAAAATATTTTAATTATTTGTATATTCGCGCTCGAGCAAAATTAACTTGTTACCAACTTTATAATCTGTTAGTGAGAGAATAGTACTTAAAAATTCTGATCACCAACTTGATAAAAAAAAACGTATGATTGCTCCACGAATAAACTCTCATTTTACTCAATTTTTGCGCAACGAAATTTTTTCAATTTCGTATATTATCAATAAGGCAATGATAATACTTCGTCGTATGCTTAATCGAAAGTCAACGATCGCTTTCCGAGAAAATTCTTAATTTCAGCTCATGTTTATGTTATAATAAGGAAAAAATTGTAAATTTAAAAATTATAACGTGCAAAATCATCTTATAATTTGTATAGAGACACGGTAGTGCCTCGTCGTGACGTAAGGGCATGGAGAATATAATAAGGAGGCCACACTGTTCATGGAGAATATAATAATAATAATTATATTCTCTATGACACTGTTAATGAAAAAAGATTTTATTTAATTTTTTTTTAAATGAAGTTTGCATATTCTACTTCTTATTAGCAGCTTCATTCAAATGAACAACATATTTGAAACAGGCATTTTAGAAAAAATGGGGAATTGATTATTTATGAAGTCAATTAAAATATATAAAAAATTGGATGTAGCATGTAAAACAGACGCTATTTTATATGCAAAATGACGCTATTCTATTTGCAAAGGATGCTATCTCATTCCTTGTACAAATTGAAATGCTATCTAATGCGCACGCTCCATTCACGATCATGCGCACAAGTCGCAGCGTATAATAAGTGAGACAAACGCATATATGTCTGCACCGTAATGCTTAAGTCTCCCTCCCTATACCGACTAGCAATATAGGAGTATTACATTTGCCACGATAAAATAAATGTCCATCAACATTTTTTAAGCCTGTAATTGTTGAGACATTAGAATTTATTGGCTATGTAGGGGTTATGTAAATTTCAAATATTTCCTTTTCAAACTTAGCAGCAATTTGTAATATATCTGCAGTTTTCTCCCATCCTGATGTCTTCAAATCGAAATAAATAATATTACAGTTATCTTCAGTTGTTTGAATTGTTGGAAGCTCATCAATAACAGATTTAATTTTAAATGTGTCCATCAATTCATCAATTTCTACTTCCATTTCACAATTTGAACTATACTGAACACCTTCAAAATTTTCTTTATTTTTTCGGAGCATTTCTCGTTTTGCAGCCAGTTCGTTTCGACGTTGTTTTGTCTTTATCAGTTTTGCTCTTGCCACCTTTTTTTTCGTCGGTTCTCTTGTCTCTTGACATAAGAAGCTGTATTTTTACCTGTATCTGAAGAAAGTTTTTGTTGAATAGCCAATAAATATTTTTCACCATCGTTTTTTGAAACAACCGAGTTGGCGAATCGATAATCACATGATTCACTTAAGCTGTAACAGCAATTCTTTGGTGCTTTATGAGTCATTATGTTGTTAAGACTCTTATTACCTTGGCTTGAAGCAGTCATCAAAAATTGAGAAGAGTTGTCAGTAAGTTTGCCACTAAGAAATCCTATAATTGCTCCGTATCCATTGAGACTGTCATAGCTTCTACCATTTCCGCGTCTGCTCTAGCCCATGTCATAAGATGCTAAAATATTTATCACATCATCCATTTGGTTATCAAAATCTTGTTGGTTTTTAATAGAAAAAGTTTCTAAATTATCTGAGGTACCAGGTGTCAATTTGCACTTAAGATTAAGAAATTGTGTATAGACTTCATTCCTTAGTTCTTCAGGTCTGCAAAAAAAAAACAAAAAAAAAGGAAGTAAATAATTGATCAAAAAAAACAATGTATATTCTCAATTTTTATTATTGAAAAAAATTTGTATAAATTGTGTACAATATGTACTTGTGGGTAAGTGGGTAGTGGGTAAGTGGGCGTAAACGGGAAGAACCAGACAATGTTCTGACTTGGAGGGGCCCAAGTCAGTTAGTCAGAAATATTCAAAAATTGTTAATGCCGGACTTGTCCACCGGCGCGTCAGTCAACTCACTGGACCAATCATCGGGAAGTATTTCCCTCATGGCCCAGACGGCAACTCTACGGCCCTAGTGACGCCAACAAGCACGCGGTCGAGCACTTGTGGCGTCAGTTAGCTCCAGGCAAATCACGCGGTCATCTCTGTATAACTTTTCGCAGTCGAATCGCAGATTTTTCAGTCAGCTCACCTTTTGTAGTTACAAGTACGGTCAAATAGACTCAGACAACTCTCACGAAGATACGTGAATCATCAAATTACTCTCATCAGTGCCAGTGGTCCAGTATATTCAGTTGTAGTGTCTTTGGGCGCGAAGCTGAACTGGCGTCGACGCCATAGTGCCTCACGGACATTCACCTATACATCGCTCCCCCGAACAACTCTGGTGTATACTGTGAATGTTGCTATTCACTGTTTTTTGAGACTATGTTATTTGGTGAAAAAATAACCATTAGACAACTCATAAGTGTACAAACAATTATGGTACAGTCAACTCAACTATATGTAGTGATTATTAAATTCTATTGAGTATATTAAGTGTTATTGTTGAATAAAATCTATAAAACCCAAGCAGTTCAGTGTTAATAAACTATTTTTTGGAACCTTCTAGCATCCAACCTTTGTTCTTATTCTGCTCTTAATTATTACAGTCCACTAGTTTTCAGTTTGCTCATTCGGCCGACTCGAAGTCAGAACAATGTAACATAATTTAATTAGATAATGTAATAAAACTCATATCTTAATATATATATAAATTGATTAAATTTCATGATTGATTCACCAAGAATCATTATAATATCAAAAATAGTGATAATTGATTAGAATTTAATTATTTTGCATAATGAAAGCGTTATATTTACACATAAATTGATTAAAAATATTCGATATTTCGTTTTTAATAATCTTACATTAAAGTTTCATTAAATTTAAAGAAAAAAATTATTCTTTTAAAGAAAAAATGTTATTCTATTATAATAAATAAAAATATCAGTGATCTGGGTGCGACCCGAAAGATCCACACGACCAACTTTCCAGTAAAAAAAATGAAGAAACAATTCGAATAGAACCCGTTTTCATTCCTTATAACAAATGGAATTGTTATAAACGAAATGAGTCTGTTTTTATTCATTTGATATGATTAGTTACTTCATTTCAGTAAAAGAAAAAATTGTGCGTTAGAAGAATTCAAATATACCCCATAGATCCTTTTTTTCATTATTTTCAACAAATTTCATTGTTATATAATTCTAAGTTACATAATTACGCGTCGAATGCAATTGGTCCCACATCGATATCATTTTTTGTTCTCGAGATAATCGAGGCGAAAAATAATTCCGAACGCACATACGCACACACACATAACGTTAATATTTTATAGTATGTATGGTAGTTCTTCCGTCGGTAATTATTTTTCCTGGCGTATTGAAGTTTGCTAATGCAAAAGATATATCACGACTAATTTGACTACTATTTGATAGATTCTTAGATTCCGCAAGAATCTCTAAGTTTCTCATAATTTGAAAGAATATAAAGGACTTTAAATAATTTAAATTTAAAGCCACAATATTGCCACAAGGAATATGAACAATAATTAATTCAGTAAAATCAAATTCATTTTGATTTTTAAGATTCCAATGTCAGTAATAATTTTTGATTTAAGCTTTTTTATTTGAGTTCCGGAAGAATAGGTTGCACTGTACACTAATCGAAATAATTTGTTATGTCACTCAGTTAACTTCACCTTGCACTTCAATTTGACAGTTGTAGGTGGCGCGATGGTACATAATGGTGATAATTTTCATTGAAACGCGAATTAATCCATCAAACTTTAATGATTTTTCTCGCGAAAACTAGCAATTTGCGAATATAAGTTCACATATCAGATCGTTTTTATTTATTTTCTTACATAACATATATCCGGCTTTGCTACAAGTTACCGGACACCTTGTATTAGTTTTTCATTCTGCTTCAATTCCGGTCCCTCAGAGGGAACCACTTTCTGTCTTCTGTAGTCCCAAGGGAAGGAAATTGGGCTACAAGGTAGTTTAATTGTAATTATGTAATTAACAATTAGTAAGCAATTATAATAATAGGTAATTAGTTTTAATTATTATTTATTTAAACAATATACTTTTTTCATGCTACAGCTATAGCGTATAACAATGAACTATATTTTATTCGATTGCCACTAGCGGCGCTAGGCTCTTGTGCCGTCGTACCGACCGAGTTGGTTGCGGTCGAGCCGCCACAACCACTCCCCCCTGAGTGGCTTTCAGTGGGCGATTTGAAAGTCACGGTTTTTTTCCGTGTATAAGTTTTTATCGGCTTATCCATCGATGAACCCCAATGATGTGGTTGAAGAGGTTGATCATCTGGTTGGTTG